CGGGGCGGCGAGGCGCGGCTGGCGGCACCTCGGCGAGCCGGCTGGAGCAGGTAGACAGCTAAATAAATAAGTCGGAACAAACTTTGCCTTCTCATCGCTTACCTTCCTTTGCAGCCTGCGCCTCTCCCGTGTGTGCAAAGCGGAGCAGCCAGATATAGCATAAAATAATCCATGAAGGGTACCGAGTTTGAAAAACCATGGTGCATGAGCAGGTTTTTTGTTTTTTTTTTAAAGGTTTCAGTTATCTTGAGTCGCAGCTTTTTCAATGTTATTTGCTCTGAAGTGGGTTTCTATTATTATTATTGGGCTCCTTGCATCGATTTCCCTTCTCAGTCCCAGGCCGGCTGCTCCACGTTTCGCTTTTTTATGTTTCTTCCCCCCCTCCTGTTCGTTCGCACGGTGTTTGCTGCCTGCAAGTCTCCGACTGCAGACCGGCCGCTAGCTCTACACTCCAATAATATCAATTAGGGGGAGGGGCGGGGCTCCCGGCCCAGAGCCTCTGCCACTCCACTTGAGTGGCAGGCGCCGCCGGCCTGCCAGACGGCGATTCCCAGGGCTGGGGGGCGGATCCCGAGGAAGCGGCCGCCTCAACCTCGGAGGCGGGGTTCTGAGAGGGAGCCAATGAGAGCGGGTCGGAGTCAGGTTGCGGCTCCAGGGTTCCCTCCAGGTTCCGCGCCCCCGGCTCGCGTCGCTGCTCCGGGAGGAGGACTGGGACGGAGGCGAGGGAGTTGCGGCCCGGCGCGCTCTGCTTCCAACAGCAGCAGCTTTCGGGAGTCGGAATAAATCCGAGCCTAACGCTGCCAATTTGCCCTCGCGTTCGTAGCTGTGCTCCTTCCTCTGTGTTTTAGAAACCCGACGCGAAGCGAGCCGTCCCGCAGCTGCTAAACGCAGAGCCGGGACGGTGAAATGAGCTGTGCCTTTAAGTGAAGTGTTTTACTTTGTTGTGGGCACAATCTCCGCGGGTCGCTTAACTTTGTGTCTTGGCCTTTTTTGAAAAGAGTCTACTGTTTTTGTTGTTCTTATTCAAAGGGAAGTCATTTTTTTTTTTTTTTTTTGGACACCACGCCATACTATCCTGGAAGGATAAGAGTGACCAAATAAATTATGTTTAAACAATGTTTTCAGGAGTTTGTAACACTCTTTGGCAAAAGAAACAGAAAAAAAAAAAGAAAAAGAAAAAAGAAAAAGAAAGAAAGAAAAGGCAGGGCAAAAGGAAGTCTTTTGTTTTATGCTCTCCTACATCCCGCCCTATCTTTCCAGAATAGCTCTTTCTCTGAGCTGGGACTTTAGGAGAGAACCTTGTGTATCTGTTTTTTCCTGAGTGTTTTCTTGGACTGCCACACTTTGATTCATTTCCCACTTCGCTGCATAAGTAACTCAATTTTGAAGAAAGCCACAAAGTATTAAACTGATAAAACAAGACCTTCCTTTTTCAAAGTAGTTTTCAGTAATTATGCCATCATTATTCTATGATTATTTTTCAAAGAAATTGAAAATAAAGATGGAACCAACATTTTCTGTTGAATTCATCCAAGCCGAACAGAAAGAATACGCAGAGAAATATGTTTTTAATTAGGCAGTTTTGGACACTTTGCATTTGAAAGGTGGGTGATATAATAAAGAACTTAAAAAACTTAATTGCCAAATAATCAATTTCAAAGGCCACTCAGTAACTTGATACATGTTTAAGATGAACATCTTTTTCTTCTTATTCTATGCTTCTTCCTTTAAAAAAAATTCTGTCATTCATGATTTGCCTTGATTTCTGGTAGGCACAAAGTTTGATCTTGCCTAAAACATAAGACTGTTCTCATATGACCTATCTGTAAATGTAAAGTAAATTGAATTCTTTCTGGTATAATAAAGACTTCTCAGAGATGACAATGCCCAGATATTTTCATTTTGTTTTATGGTAAATGCCTATTTGATTAACACAGTTGCCATGAAGAAAGAAATGACATTTCTCTTCAAACATCTTTGATTCTGTAGTTTTGTAGCTAGTATGTCTATGAAATAGTTTAGAAGCTACATCTAACAACATCCTAATTGCTATTTAAACTGTGAATAGAAAATGTAAACTGCTTAATAGATTAATCTCAGAAATGAACAAAACAATATAGGCAGAGCACACTTGTTATTGAAAAAATGAAATGTCATTTACCTAAATAGCTGTAAGGGTAAAACATAAGCTAAGACATTAGAATTAAAAATATAAAACTCTACAGGTAGGCTTTAAAATTCACCAAATCACAAACAAATTAAATAACTTCTAGTAATCAAAATAAATTCTTCATGAGTTCAACATTTCCTCACTTCCTAGAATGACACTAATTTTGCTTTTAAAGTTTAAAATATTCCTTTCATCTATTGACTGACTAATAGTCAGTGATGTGAATACAAATACCTTTCCATTAAAATCAGGAAACTGGAGATGTTATATCCTTATCTTCTCTGATGAGTGGAAGTAGCACCAGGAGTCCCTTTTTCTGCGTCCATCTCTGTCAGACACTAGGGCATGTGCAAACCAACTTTTATTTTTGGAGACAAGAAACTTCACTTTAAGTGTACACTTGCTGGACTACTTACTGACAGTTGTCCTGCAGAAATACTAATTATCAATCATGCATTTTTTAGATTTATCAAACTTCTTTCATCTTGGACTTATGTATAGAGAAGTTACAGCATTTAAATAACAATAAACGACAGTCATGAATAGATTGTTCCTTTTATATACTTTTATACAGCACGTTTTAATACACAAATTTACATTAGAGTATATTTTTTTCTAACAATGTAACATATAACTTATGGCTCCATGGTCATTGAAATGAAAAGCAATATCAATCTTTCATATTTTAAAATAACAATACTGAAATTTCCTCACCTTATTTTTAACCTAGTTTATTTTACATTGATATCTACATTTATTCATGCTATTACTATGAAAAAAAACTTGAGAAAAATATGTAAGTATGTAAAAAGAATTTAAAAAGAACTCATTTTCCTGAGCACTACCAAATGAAGTATAAACCAATACATATGAGCCAAAGTAGGAATTCTGAACCCTAGTTTTTTAGTGTTTACATTTTTCTTGTATAATGAAGTATTTTACCTACTGTCAGAAAATTTTAAGTAAATGAGAAGATACTAAAACTTTAACATTTCTATTTATATCCCCTTTGAAACATCTGTCACAAAGGTGTAGTGGAAAGATGAAAAATGCCTGCTTGTCTTTATATGCGAGGAAAATATACCCAAGTTTTATGCACTTGGTGCTATTTTTACCTATATAATTACCTCTAATCACACACAACTGTACATGTATAAAAATGAATGTCCAAATTCAGGACACATCTCAAATGAATTTACCACAATATTTACTTCTTGGAAATATCTTCTGATTTTAAGAGAGAAATAGTTACTTAGGAGTAAATTATAATAACTTAAGGGAGTTAGTTCTATGAATTTTAAAACAAAAGTCTCTGTATATGTGTGTGCATGTTTGCTTGTGTGTGTGTGAGTGTGTGTGTGTGTGTGTGTGTGTGTGTGTCTAGCAATCAAGCCTTACAAGCCTTAAGAGGGTAAAGGAACAACTGGAGAATTAAGCATGTTACAAATCCAAGGCTGTCAAACTAAATGGTTAAAAACAACAGCAACCATAACAAAATCAAAGAGCTGATTCTGAACCTACTACTTTGGCATTTACTGTCTAAATGCATTCACAGCTTGTAAATGTGAAAATTCAAGTTCATCACAGAAAAGGGGGTAATTTAAAGTGAATTAGAAAAGGTACTGTGTAGAAGAAACTGATTATAAAAGGAAAAGAAGCATTATGTCTCAGTTAATAGATATTACAGAAAATTGGGTTTTCCACTTGTGATTTCAGTCAAAATATAAACAATCCACTTTGCAGGAAAATCACTTACATATTTACATTAGCATGATTTATATACTGTATATAAAATATTTGTAGTCAATACATACACAAGCACAACTCATAAAAGATACAATAATTCATTTATTATCCTCAGCTTCAGATTTTTTCACAGTACAGAAAGTGAGAGGTCAGGATTCAAAATCAAAAGTTATGACTATATTTTGTGCCTTTTTGAAATTTCTTTGGCTTTTTTAAGGTTGGATATTGGGCAAAGTTCAGAAAATTAAAATTAAATAACTTCAATTGCAGTTATTTATTGAGACAACAAATAAAATATAATTTATATGTAAATTGTAAGAGTTCACTTGGATAATACTAAGGTTTCATTAAAATTTTCGCATCACTTAAAATTCTGAAAAGTATTAAGTCAAATAACCTTTATGACAATAGTATGTAATGAACTAAATATATAAAGGGAAATGTGGCACATGGTATTTGGAATCATTTTTAAGAATAAGAATTTTTAAAATTTAATTTTGTTTGAAGAGGGTCTTTCTTTTCAAAACTTACCCTCATTTTGCCACAAATCAACACTAAAGAAGTGACGTGGCTTAAGTTATGCAAATTTCTTCTATATGCTTTCACGGTTTCTCATCATACAATATTTTTAGCTTTCTAGCCAGTAGATTGTGATAAATCAGTGACCACCAGGGGGCACCAGGACCTCTGGGTGCTCCGGCCAATCACGTCCTCATTGAATAAGGATGAGCTAATTTAAAAAATTGTATGTGTGTGCATTTATATATACATATATTACGCATATATAATACTTACCATATAATATATATATAATATATAATCTTATCCTCTCAGTTTATCCTTGCCTACTAGAGCCTTTGTAAAAGAAAGTTATATGACCTAGTTATTTGAATTACAGTGGCCAAATTAATGGAATAGTCTCTAAGGAATAGTCTCTAAAAGGGTCAAATATGTTTCAGAAACGCTTTCTCTGACTTTTAGCTAAACATCTGAAGAGTTCTGAGACTTCAAGAAGACCCCAGATAATCTCTTTCTCACTCCACATAATTATCCTAAATTATTTTACCTTGGACACAGGGCCTAGAGTATGCACTGGGACTGGATTCTTCAGAGGAGTGAGAGTTCTTAAAAATCTTCCAAATTTCCAGCTCTCTAGTTTGGAAAGTATTTTAGAGAGCACGTCACATCCTAACCTGCTATGGTTAATATTGCAAATGAAATTCTGTCAAAATTGTCTAACTCGTCTCAAAGAGTTCTAAGAACAGGTCTGAACAGTAGTGATGTCTGTATATTCCCGTAACTTTCAAAGAAAGTGATGGAGAAAGAAATACATAAATGGTGCCCCGTAGTGGTGAAATTATAATGTTGTTGGAGTTAACTTCACTGAACATTTCTATACACTGCAGAAAGTGGTGCTATAGAATCCTCTGGACTTGGCATGCAATTGTTCCAAGGAAAGAAAGTGGACAGATTTGCATAAGAAACAAAGACCTTCCTGGGAGGAGAGGATCCCAAC